CATACAAGGACCTAAACAACTAATCTACATAAATGAAAATGGAAATGTTCGTTTGTTGAAAAATCGCTAATCTCCGATAGCTTTTCACCGATTGCTTTGAAAATTTTACTCAACGTTCCATTCGCATCCAAGCCGGTTTGTATATACAAACTATATAGATGTCACGTCTGTGACAGGAAAAGACATGTTTTTTTTTTTTTTAAATGTGTTTTTCATGAAAGGGAAATCTTCAAAACCTCTTTACTGATTGCTTTGAAATTTTGACACAACATTGCATTCGAATAGGCAAGTGTTTTTACATACCTACTATAAACATGCCTCACCTGTGACAGGGAAAAACATCCTTTTTTGAACAACAGCGCCGTCTGTTGGACGTAAGAGCAACACATGCTATAATTTCCGAAAGTTCTTCACCAATTGCTATGAAATTTTTGCACAATGTTCCATTCGAATACGTGCAAGTTTTATATGCCAACTATATAGATGCTATGCCTGTGACAGGTAAAAACATGCTTTGTTTTAAAATAGCGCCATCTGTTGCACGTAATAGCAACACATGCAAAACTAAATATGTTACGATTCCTTCTTAATGTTTCCGATTACATTGATAAATAGGATTTTCATAGATTTCGATTTATTTTCATTTTGATTTAATTATTTTGTGTGACATTGTATTGGAATTGAGCTGTGTTGCTTACCATACTGTTCATTTTGTACGTATTGTTTAGATGCCGCACCTTTCACAGTTAAAAACATTCTTATTTAAGAAACAGCGCTATCTGTTGCACATAGGAGCAACATACCATTCATTTCGTATGTATAAGTTTAGAGACCTTACCTATGACAGGTAAAAACATTCTTGTTTTTTTAAGAAACAGTGCATAATTTTGCAGGCAAGAGCAACACACGCTATTCTAAATATGTTGCAATTTCATTTCAATGTTTCCTATTGCAATGACAAATTGAATTTTCATAGATTTTGATTTATTTTCATTTTCATTTAGTGATTTTGTGTGACATTGCATTGAAATTCAGTTGTATTGTTTACCATACCTTATATTTTATGAGTATAGTTTATTTTTTATTTTTTCATTTTTTTTCATTTCGTTTTTTTAACTGTTTTCTAATACTTCAGTGATGTCAACACCAGATCTTTTGATGTTCCCAATTTTCTAATGGGAACATCGGATCATTTGGGAATGCATTGGACGAGGGAGTGGGGAATGGTAGGGAAGAAAGGGGATGGGAGTGAGGGATGGTGGGGAGGACGAGAGAACAGGAGAGGAGGTCATGGTGGAGAGGACGAGGGATGGGGGAGATGTGGATGGTGGGGACGAGGAGACAGGAGGATGGAGAATGGTGGGGAGGACAAGAGGACAGGGGAGTGGGGGATAGTGAGGAGGACGAAGGGACAGGGGAGGGGGGAATGGTAGGTTGGACGAGGGGATGGGAGAGTGGGAGATGGTGGGGGAGGACGAAGGGACAGTTGAGTGAAGAATGGTTAGGAGGACGAGGGGGACGGTGGAGTAGGGGGTGGTGGGGAGGACAAAGAGACCGGAGGAGGGGGGGAGGGAATTGTGGGGAGGACAACAGGACGGGAGATTGGGGAATGGTTTGGAGGACGAGGGGACAGGGGAGTGAGGAATTGTTAGGAGGAAGGGGGGATGGGAAAGGGGGTAAATGGTTGGGAGACATAGGAAAGTTGCTGTGGCTCAGCAATGCATATGCTTAGCTGAGCCACAGCAACGCGTGACCAGTTACAGCTAGTCAATATATATATATATATATATATATATATATATATATATATATATATATATATATATATATATATATATATATATATATATATATATATATATATATATATATATATATATATATATATATACAACTATATATACAATATATATACTGTCTCCACTCGATCATATATACAATATATATACAACTGTCTCCACTCGATCATCCGGACAATATGGGAAGGACCCCCAGCCGGATTATCACATTTTTCGGATAATGGTACTTTTTCACCTACGAGTCCAAAAGTGACCATTTCCAACTATTTTTATAACACAAACAACATAATTTGAATTGCCTTGCCACATACAATTGTTAAATATTCAACTAGAAACCTCAACTTACCTTGTTGGTGTTCGTCTTCTTTATTGATGCCACACATCTTGAAGTTAAAAATTCTTAACAATTTACGTAACCTATACTAACACAACACTAAAATTATCACTTAAAATTACTGTACAGTTCATTAAGCTAAGTTAGTTTTGACTGCCAGCTGCTGAAGCCTCACTGGTTGAGGGCATTTGGGTTGCCTGTGAGGCCTCGGTTGTTGAAGGCGCTTGCTTGCACCTCACTTGTTGAAGCGCTTGCATGTCCTCACTTGTTGAAGGCGCTTGGCTTGCCTGTGGCGCGTCACTTTTTGAAAGCGCTTGGCTTGCCTGTAATGCCTCACTTGTTGAAGGAGCTTGGCTTGCCTGTGGCGCCTCACTTGTTGAAGGCGCTTGGCTACCTGTGACGCCTCACTGGTTGAACAACACGTAACTTGTCTTTAATTGCTAGGACAATCTTCTTCCTCTTAACACTTCCAGAACGATTGATGCTGCTACCAGACATATTCTTGGCCAAAAATGTTCAAAATTACTATGAAAATTAAGAAAGTTATTTAAAAAAATATTTCACTAATGGCGCAACACTGTGAGGCCGCACTGGTTGAGGTGTATAACAGTGACTTGTCTTTAATTGTTAGGACAACTTTCTTCCTCTTAACACCTCCAGAACGATTGATGCTGCTACCAGACATAGTCTTGGCCAAAAATGTTCAAAGTTACTATGAAAATAAAAAAGTTATTTAAAAAAATATTTCACTAATGGCGCAGCACTGTGTATAACACGAGGGACGGACGCACATGGGTTGACCAGTGTTAGACGGGTCCACTTGGGGTGGGGCAACTATAGCGCGTTACGTAGGCCGCCAGGAGGAAAAAAATTTACAATATTTTTGAAGGAAACTTCAGCCTGTGCACAATGCTTTTAGGAAACTTATTTATTTGTTATTACATAATTACTAGTACTTATTTCATTTGTTTTTGGCTATGATTAATTGTTCTAAAATTAATGGTAATTCCTGTACCCAGGTGGTCCCTCCTGACGCACCCCTCCCACCCTCCCAACACCACCCACCCACCCAACCCCCCTCCTCCACCATGCGTCTAGAGCCACAGACGGGATTAATACGGTATGGCCGTATTTTCATCCGGCCAAACCAGCTTTTATCCGGTTCCTGTGGCCATTTTGGCCGGATATTGTGGTAACTTTATCCGATCACGATTTTGGCCGTATAAGGGCGTTTTCCGGATGTTTGAATCCCGGATAATTGCGGGGTTACAATATATATATATATATATATATATATATATATATATATATATATATATATATATATATATATATATATATATATATATATATATATATATATATATATATATATATACATATATAGAGAGAGAGCGAGTGAGGGAGTAGGAGAGTGAGTGAGGGAGAGGGTGAGTGAGAAACTAGTGAGTGAGAGTGAGAACTGAGGGAGGGGAGAGTGAAAATGAATGAAGGGGAGCGAGACAGAAATTTTAGTTGCTAGAGCCTTCGTATGAAATACCAAGTAACGCTGCCACCACCCTGAGTTACCAGAAAGGGGGACTGGAATGAGATTCGTAGCAATTGTAGACTGTATAATCCTACCCCAACAGGTGTAGGGGACAATTGAATGGTACAAGGATCCTGGCCTGTCACTTGAATAATCCTGACCACTAGGGGAACTATAAAGTACACAAGAATAAGGCGGGACACACCCAATACTAATATCTTAACAAGGGACAGATGGGGGAGGAGTACTAAATAATTAAGGACACTAGGTCACTAGGGCAAAGGGGACGGTAGGATGAGTATCACTAAGACAAGGAACCATTAATACACACTTAATGACACTTGACAATATATGACTTTATTTGAAACAATTAAATAGACTCTTTCCTAACCGAGGCAAAGAATAATTGAATGATGAGGTGCTTTAGTTCAAGAGAGCCCTACTTACTCCAATGGTGTTCCACAATTCTCCTGGAGATGATGTTCTCTCCCGTTGTCCACCCACACCGTCCTACTGGGCTTCTCCCAATCTACTGTTCTCTTTCCATGATCTGCTCCTCTGCTGAACATGAGGGTGTGCATTTGATGTGGAGGGGTTAATCCCTGTACATTATCATGAAGGCATTAACTCTGACCACCTCGTGACTTGGTGACCGTTGACCTGTCCCCCTAGTTAACCTCTACAGCAGTGTAATTTTTCCATAGTCTGGAGTTATCTGTTTGGGGCCTCGCCTGTGATTTATTCATGCTGTTATGATGTTCTTGTTGTTCTACTATGTACTGCTCTCTTGTTACAATGACAAAACAGCTGAGGCCACCCATTACCTTATATTAACACATTGTTGCTTTAATACTAACCATTGCATTTTAATAGTAAAACATTATACTGTAGACTATTTATAATCACCAATTGTGGTATTGAATATATGTACATTAATCCCCCCCCAACTTGTGATCAGGTAGACACCAAGCAGGATATATATTAAAATACAACCCACTTTGAAGTAATTGTTCAATATTGAAGAAAGTTCAATAAACTAGAATTAAATAATTAAATAAATTTAAAAGAACATTACTGCCTGCTAGGAAAATACCCCCATAGGTGTATTGAGGGTTGCTATAGTGCTAACAATTGTGTGTAGTTAAGATGAGTACTGTTATGAAGATAGTGTGTGGTGACAATGGTAACTGTGACGAAGATAGTGTTTTGAAGATGTGATACTTTTTTTTTTTTTATGTTTCAAGCTATAAATGAGTTGATGTTACTCGGTGTTGAAATAATATAATACCGATTTATTTCGATAATATATGCCATTTTGACGAAATTATTCCTCCAACAGAACCCGGACCACCAGTTATCACCAGCGTCACACTATGTTAAGATTGTATTCCTGTCACCAAGACCCCTAATCATCACCTGTGTAATAGGGGGGAATAACCCCACAGACTTGATTTTTTTACGCAAATTAGGCAAGCCAGCATAGCATGTCTGTGGAGGAAGTTTTTTTTAGGTAAATACAGGGTGTTCTCAGACAATGATCTGTGGGGTCAATTAATTTTGTGGTGGAATCTATCTTGAGATGATTTCGGGGCTTTTAGTGTCCCCGCGGCCCGGTCCTCGACCAGGCCTCCACCCCCAGGAAGCAGCCCGTGACAGCTGACTAACACCCAGGTACCTATTTTACTGCTAGGTAACAGGGGCATAGGGTGAAAGAAACTCTGCCCAATGTTTCTCGCCGGCGCCTGGGATCGAACCCAGGACCACAGGATCACAAGTCCAGCGTGCTGAAAGGAGCAGTTGGGGATATGTAGAGACAGGTTTTGTTGTAAATGCTCAATGGTATTGTCATGTCTTTTCTAAGAAGAGTGTGTGTGTAAAGAGGGTAAGAGTTTGTTGGTGTGTCTACCATAGTCGTTCGGTGTGGTGGGTGAGAGCGGGTCTACGGTCTGTCTAATTACCCAAAACTACCCAAATTTACTCAAAGTTACCCAAAGCTTCCTAGTATTACGTAAGTAATGAAGAAATATGATATATTTACTCACTCTATTGTTGATGTTGAATGTAGAACATGAAAAAAATATATTTTTACTCTGAAATAATATAAATTTTAAACGAAATTCGACGAAACTAAGTGGCATGAGAGGCCATATGAAGTCGACACTCCAAGCAACAATGTTGTGGCGCGACTTATCCAAGATGAACAAATTATTCAAGATATATTGTTCCCTAGAGGTCATATTAAGGTATGTTTGGATAGGTTAGGTCTAGTTAGGTTAGGTTATGTTATGTTTGGGTAGGTTGGTTAGGTTAGGAAGGTACAGGAGGCATAAATGCCAGCAAACATTGTCGCTTGGACCGTCGACTTGCTTTGGCGTCACCAGCTCCTTATTTTCGTATAATTTCGTAATAAATGATACTTTTTCAGAGTAAAAATATGTTTTTCATGTTCTACATTCAGCACCAACATTAAAATGAATAAATATATTACATTTATTCATTACTAACGTATTGCTAGGAAGCTTTGTGTAGCTTTGAGTAAGTTTGGGTAATTTTGGGTAATTAGATGGACCGTGGGTCTATACTCCACATGGACTAGCGGGACTCTGCCCTCTGCTGTAGCTGCTGTATCCTGCCAGCCTCCCTCCCCGAAGACCTCATTTTCATGAAAACTATCCTCATTTATAGTCAACTATTTTTAATGGAATGGAGTGTATGGAATATGGATACAGAGGGTTTCTGTGACAGACATAAAAGTGCCATTGGGTGAGCACCAACCTTCAGGAGTGAAAGGCTGTGTACTAAGATTAGTCTCCTCCACACCTGTTACCTTGCTCTTCTCTCCAACTATTTCACCCTCCTTTCACCTGCTCACACTTTCCTACCATCATCATCAGCTGCCCATCCCAACACACCAATTGCCGTTACATCCTTTCTAAGATTTTCCGTACTACTATTACATAAGATTCGCCCACAGAGCTTATCGTATATAATTTTTCATGTAAAAATTTATGGTTTGAACCCATCACATTTAGCAATCTATATCAAAATTATTTCTGATTCAACATTAATAAGAATAAAAGATAGAGGATAAGACCAGGAATATGTCAAGCAGTGAGACAGAATGAATGTGTGTGTGTGAGGATACTGAGTAGGACTGCAGCCAACGGCACATGGGGGGTGTCTTGCCTTCCTAACTAATGTGTCTAATGCCACATTTGCACCTGCCTCATCGTCCAACGGATTGCCTGTCTAGATCGGTCAACAAGCCAGCAACATTTATAACAATGAAATAGTTTTTTCTTTGTGTATGTATCTGTACAAATATATCTTGTGTTTAATTGTATATCTTATGTTAATGAGCATATTACCAAAAAATATTTCAAGTGTAAAGAAAATGTTGTTTCATTTATTATTCCTTATTAGTAAAATAAATATATCACTCAACTTATTAATGGCATTAATAGCTGTAACTTGCATACATATTTCTATTTAGGAAATAACGTACATATAATTGCACATAGAAAAACATTAGTTATATAGGGACATTATATCAAAAACTTTTTTTAACATTATTTACGAGGGAATTTAAATATTTTCCTCCCCCCTAAACAGGAGTTTTAGGGTATTAAGTACCTTCACCCAATCTCCCATGCCACAGGCAGCTACAAAGTACCCCCTTTATTTAGGGGTACGGCTCACACTGCCTCTTTGTCATGAGTGCACACCCACTCCCGAGCCGCCATGTCTCCCCTGCACTCTCTTTATTCTGGGATGATTTCTTAAATTCTCCTTTATGAGTTATTGTCCACTATCACTCAATCTGCAACCCTGTCGCTCTCTCTCCCTCTCACTAGCCAGGAAGCCTCACAAGAACAAGAGCAAAAAAAAAACAACTAACGTATAAAACATTTAATACATAAAAACATACACATGAATAAATAAATATATATATATATATATATGTCGTACCTAGTAGCCAGAACTCACTTTTTGGCCTACTATGCAAGGCCCGATTTGCCTAATAAGCCAACTTTTCCTGAATTAATATATTTTTTCTAATTTTTTTCTTATGAAATGATAAAGCTACCCATTTCATTATGTATGAGGTCAATTTTTTTTTATTGGAGTTAAAATTAACGTAGATATATGACCGAACCTAACCAACCCTACCTAACCTAACCTAACCTATCTTTATAGGTTAGGTTTGGTTAGGTAGCCGAAAAAGTTAGGTTAGGTTAGGTTAGGTAGGTTAGGTAGTCGAAAAACAATTAATTCATGAAAACTTGGCTTATTAGGCAAAACGGGCCTTGAATAGTAGGCTGAGAAGTCCGTTCTGGCTACTAGGTACGACATATATATATATATATATATATATATATATATATATATATATATATATATATATATATATATATATATATATATATATATATATATATATATATATATATATATATATATATATATATATATATATATATATATAACCTATATATATAGCAGCCTAGGAGGTTGGTAGCAACCTCCTAGGCTGCTACCAACTGATAACACTCCAATATTCCCTTAGGTCTCTATTTTATAACCATATTAGGATGCTGCTCATTCCTTAGCTCACCATCTACTGCCCCCTTCACTACTTTATGATGAAATACATGGCTCAAAAATATTCATATATCTTCTACTGTAAAAAGACATCAATCTCTCACCTTGCACTGCGCCTTTCATGCCAAAAAGCAATCAAGTACTCCCTTAAACATCAACGTGTCCATATGATCCTGTTCTAATCTTCGAAGCCCACTACTACAAACATCTGTTTGGGTCCTCGGAATTCAGGAAAGGTACTCCTGCAGTTCCTCCAATCTGCTGCACATGAAGTCTCCTCGAATGTCAGGGAAGCTCCTCCAACGGCTTCACACAAGAGACGTGCAGTTCCCTACACTACCTGAAGATTTACAATGTCAATGGAGTTCCACTCCTCAATGGAAGTCCTGCTCCGCCAGGCAGTTCAACTTGGAGTTCAGCTTATACTCCTCCTCTGGTGTGAAGTTCCTTCACAAACTTCTCCCATACAAACCACAGAAATCTATGACGTGGGGGGTGCTCACTCAGATCGCACATAAAATCGCTTTAGGATTGCTTCACCAAGCTTCCTCCAGTCCTGACTTGAGTACACGAAGTCGCCAGGCAGGCTTCACACAGAAATGCCTGCTTATTTCCCTCCTCTAGAAGGAATACACATATTAGAGGATACACATACAGGCACGACCACCCATTCGGTTCCAAGTCATCTCTAATATCTTCACATCACAGAGAAATGGTGTACAACATCCCCAATAGCTTCCTAACACTTGAAAACAAGTAGCTTTCACTTCAACATCAACATTGGGTACTTCTCCCTTCTTCCTGGAGATCAACGAAGTACAACCATCCCTAACGACTGCAGTAATTCAAATGACATTACCATGTCTACCAGCATCAGGTCTCATCACAAACTGTAGACATCTCATTCTATGTCACTTTTATCAGTCGCTCATTCTCTGTTCGTATTCTTTCAATGTCATGAGTTCTCAGTTCGTATTATTTCAATATCATGAGTTCTCTGTTCGTATTCTTTCAATGGCATGAGTGCACTGACGTTTATTCATTTTATTTCACTCCGCTGACCTCTCAATCTCTGGTCAGGTATGCAGAATAAATCTCACTGGTAGACTCGTTTCTACAGGCTATCTTAGGTCATAACACAGGCTTGTTAATATTAGTTCCATACCCGCATGAGCTGAACGAGCTGCATATAATGGGTCATTGTGAATTACAGTCTTCTCTAATATATCTTAGCCCTCGGACCTTGACCTGTGGTGTAGCAACCCGTTCTCGCACAAGTCAGCACATATATGGTTAAATGCTTATAGTCCTTATTTTGCTAATGTATATAGTACCTATGTGGTATTTCCCCAGTTTTATTTTTCCAAGGTACTAACTTTTCCTCACATACCAATTTGCGTCTCATATCGCTGTACTTCAGCAGAATAATATCGATTGGTTAAATTTTAGTGAAAAGATTATTTTCCAGTCCCACATGTGTTGTAAAATTTATCTACTATTGTCCATGCTATTAGAATATTAGGGATAAGCTACTTCCTATTGAAGACTCATAGTTTCGTTTTGAGAAATGTTAGTTGATCTCAGTAAATTATAAGAAGCACTGTAAATTATTACAGTGCTTCTTATAAGAGTGCTTCACCAATCAACATTATATACACAAGTTTGTGCTTTGAAAATAATAAGAGAATATATTGTAGGAACGTCTACAGAAAACAATGTTACGGTGGAATATTTATGGGCTAACCTACTGCAAACAGGATGGTATGGGGTCGACAACCAACTGTAGGAAGGGGGAATGCGGTCCACTACCACCTGTTAGGTGGGTAAGGGGTCCATACCACTTGTAGGATGGTTGAGTCTGGCCCTAGCTTCGATAGGGGACAGACGTGTTGCATCGGCGCTCCAGCAGTTGGTGTTGTTTGCCAGTTTCGGCCGGTTGGGGGCGGGTGTGTCTCTGCTCGCCTGTGCTGACGTGGCGTTACGATGGGGGTCCCTCTACCCCCTGTCGTCCGGGCTCAGTCTGTGGGACTAGAGTTCTCTGTGCGGACTGGTTACCCGGAAATTGCCCTGGCTTGTGAAATGTTCTCTGTCCCTGTGTTTGCAATTTATGGGGTCGAGTTGGTAACGGCCCGTAGGGCAATTGTGATGTTCGCTGAGGAGGTGGCATATGGCGATTTTCTCCGGCGATACGAGGGGCGGACACTACCCCTGCCGGATGGTGCGGGCACTGTAACCCTCTCTGATAGAAGTGGTGCACTTACTTACATCAGTGTGCATGGGGCTCCCTTGGAGTTTCCAGAGGCTCTGCTACGGCGGTATTTCGGCCGGTTTGGTGCAGTTGTTAGTGTGAGGGTGAACGTGGTGTCTTATAGTCCTCTTAAGGTTGTGAGGTCTAACATTTGCACCCTGGGCATGAGACTCCGGGCAGATATTCCGTCCTCTGTGCGCCTTATGGGGTACAACGTTCGGGTGTTTTACGCCCGTCAGCCGCGGACGTGTTATCGTTGTGGTCTTTTGGGCCATCAGGCTGCTGCCTGTTCTGCGCCTGCTGTTGCACCAGTGAATCTCTTCAGTGAGGAGGATTTTCCGCCCCTTCCTGTGGGGGATGATTCGGTGGGTGTGGACGTCTCTTCGGCTAAGGAGGTGCCCTCTGTATCAGCTGTTGCTCCGCCTGTTGCGCCCCCTGTTGTTGCCGCATGTCCTCCGGAGGTTGTGTCCTCGCCTAGTGCTCCGCCTGCTCCGGCTGGTGTCCCTGAGCCTCTTCCAACTGCCAACTGCCGTTTGCTCGGATAACTCGTCTTCCAGCTCTTCCTCTGCTGTGTCTGTCCCGGTCCCTGCACCCTCGCCGTCTGTTCCGGCTGTGCTGGGAGCTGGGGTGGATCCGGCATTCCCTCCTGTGCCTGGCCTGGTGCCCCGTGTGGTTGAGGAGGCTGCCGTACTGCGGCGTGCGTCGGTTCGCTCGGCTGGTGCTGCGCGGGTCGCTGAGTCTGCCTCCGGGTCTCATGATGTGCGGCCCGAGCCTAAGTGTTCCCGGCGTTCTTCTGCGTGGGCTGAAGTTGGCGACTTCGACGAGTGTCGTCCTTCCGTTGACGGTGGAGTGGCTCCGGATATGGTGCACACTACGGTGGTGGCTGAGGTACACTTGCCTGAGGATGCCGGTGCCGGTGTTTCGGCCTCCCCTCCTGGTCTGGTGTCCGAGGGTCCTGCTTCAGGTGCGTCGCCTGCGTGGGGTGGCTCCGGTTCTTCGTGGGGAGTGGTTCCCCCTGCTGTGGTTGGTGGTGAGCGGGGTGGCCTGGTGATGGTGTTGAGAAAGGATGTTCGCTCTGAGAGTTCTGTGGCCCCTTCCTCGTTACCCGTTTCCTCGGCAGCGGTCTTGCCGCCTCTTCCGTCTCCAGCAGTCTCTTCTGTGTCTCCTGCGGTATCCATGGAGGTGCTACAGTCTCGTCGTCCGGCACCTGCTCCTATGTGTGCGACTTCGTGGCAGTCTCGGCGGCCCTCGTCCACTTCTCCAATGTCGTCTGCTTCCTTGATGGGCGTGGGTGGCACTCCCCGGCCTCGTTATGCGACTTGCGTCAGTGACCTCGGGCGTTGGCCGATGCCGCCCGATATAGATGTTCCTGAGTTTATCCTCTCCCCTCGGGAGAGGGGGATCGAAAACCCTACCGACCTTGAAGATTTGGTCTGGGAAGCTTACAAGGCGAAGTATCCTTCCGCTGTTTTCCCGGAGAAGTACATTTCTCACGCTGTTCCTCGAAAATGATTTCTGTGTATTCTGTGTTTCCTGTTGTGTACG